AATAATAAACATTAAATAAACAAAAGACAAATAGCCAAAACTGGTCACAATATCGCACTCCTATTATTTTGTGGACAACTGTATGATCTATGTATGCTTCTGCTTCTAAGTGATTAAAAGTACTACGGGAGGTTAGTCTGAAAGCTATTGCCCAACATACGAGTATATACTATATACATATGTATATGTAAATACATTTGTGCATTTTTATGTAGATACTTACATATGTATGTATGTAGATACATAAGCCATTAAATTGTTGAGTTGTGTACACAAAATTCCCAACGAATTGCCGGTGAGCAAGCCAACAGGAAATCTAGGTTAATGTGTAAGTGGGGCACGAATGTCGGGAAAAGTGCACACCACATGCTATACATATAAGAGATTTATATATGTATATACCTAAGTAAATATGTATACATATATACATGGATATAACAATCAAAAATTAACGATGTCTAGAATTTTGACAACAAAATACTTATAAAATAAAGAGAGCAGCAAAAATACCTCGAAAATACATTAAAATGTTAACACATTTAGCAATGGACCTGCACAAAAACATGTATGTACATACATATGCATGTACCCTTACACATGTACATATATACTACATGCATGCACACGCAAACAAAAAATCAGCAATTTATAGGAAAATTTTACGCTTTTTTTTTGCTTATAATCTTACAATTATTTTAGCATACTGATAATCATCCCCTATGCGTGTATATTGCATTGATTGCTTTGCACTTGATTTAAATAAAAGCGATTAGACACAATCCAAGATAGGCGGAATACAGAAATTTATATATAAATTTCTACTACAGTTGTGGTCAAAGAAATGTTACCTTTATTAAAAATTAGTATATATTAAAAATTAGTATTATATTAAAAATTAGTATTATATCAAAATTTAGCTTCGATACAAGCCATATGATTTGGGGTGGATTCATACTTTTATGTTAGTTAATTCGTATTTATAAATATAAATATTAACGCCTCTGTTTCATTGACATCATAAAGCACTATTGGTAGCCCTCTTTAGGATGATCTGCTTCGTTGTCTGTTAGTCCAATTTTTCCCAAGGAATACTTTTAGTATTAAATAAAAACATACCAAGAATATTGAAGCCCGTTTCCCCCGGCATGTGAGTGAATAGAGTGTGGTTTTCGTACGGCGAGAGGATTTTACTCCTGAACTGCCTACTCAGTCCAAATGTGTTACTCATACGCCATATTGCACAAGTATCCTTTTTTTGAGATTTTGTACTAATGCAAACCCCTTTTTTTATAGAAATGAGTCTATATTGAGTTTGCCTTGGTAATGGTATTTAAGTTTAAACTTTGTTTATAAATGTTATGTACACCATGACGCGTAAACCAAGACGAATTCAGAAGTATTACAAATAAAAAACAAGTAAGAAAGTCTAAGTTCGGGCGGAGCCGAACATTAAATACCCGGCGCAAGTATTAAATATATGTTTTTTCACCTTTCCGAAACCTTGCGCTAGATGGTAAGCCGGGGTGTATCAATTTTGAGTAAATTAGCGTCCTTCAATTTCGAAATATTGAAGTTTCAAGCATTTCTGAAATTTACCGTTCAATATTTACTGATTTATCGAAGATTTTGTATTTCTCTCCGTTATATGGGATGTGGGCGTGGTTATTGTCCGATTTTAAAAAGTTTCTGCGATTTTTTATGCTGTACCAAGGCCAACAACTGTGCCAAGTTTGGAAGAAATTGCTGCAGCGGTTACCAAGATATACACATGTAACCATAAGTGGGCGTGGCTACGCCCATTTTCCAAAAATTTATAATATTCTTATTTTTCATCTAAAACTTATTACAAATATCAATTTTGAGTGAATAATCTCCAGTAGTTACTAAAATATCGCAGTTTTCGTATTTCTGAAAATTACCGTTATATGGGAAGTAGGCGTGGTTATTGAGCGATTTTGAAAATTTTCGGCCATTTGATATGTTGTGCGAAGGCCAACAGCTGTGCCAAGTTTGGAAGGAATTGGTGCAGCGGTTACCAAGATATACACATGTAACCATAAGTGGGCGTGGCTACGCCCATTTTCCAAAAATTTATAATATTCTTATTTTTCGTCTAAAAATTATTGTAAATATCAATTTTGAGTAAATTATCTTCAGTAGTTACTAAAATATCGCAGTTTTCGTATTTCTGGAAATTACCGTTATATGGGAAGTGGGCGTGGTTAAAGTCCGATTTCGCCCATTTTCAATACCAACCTACCTTGGATTAAGGGAAACCTACATACCAAATTTCGTTGAGATATCTCAATTTTTGCTCGAGTTATCGTGTACACGGACAGACGGACAGACGGACAGACGGACGGACAGACAGACATGGCTTAATCGATTTATTTTTTCATCCTGATATGTATACATTTGTCTATATCTATCTCGATTCGTTTTGGCTGTTACAAACAACCGTTATGTGAACAAAATTAATATACCCTTGTGCACAAGTGCGCTCGGGTATAAAATCTAATCAGCTGTCGTAGCATCACTGCTCGCCGATATAGTTCCGGACTTTTTCGAGTCCATTTCGGTACTAGTTCAGGACTTTTTTCGGGACCATTTCTAGACTTTTTCGGTATAGTTGCACGAATGAAAATGAAGATTAAAATAATGTAGGTGTGTGTAATATGTGTTTATAATAATGTTTGTGATGGTTGACTGTAAATCTCAGATAGCGAAAATCTCATGTCCATATGACTTTTTTTTTAATTTTGTAAGGAAAGCATATATATTTTTTTCATTCCGTCATCTAATCTTCAAAATTAAATAGGTCCCTACGATACTCGAGTAAATCCCGTGGCTCCCCTACTATAAGGGAAAATTGCTCAGAAAGCCTTGAAACTTTAGCCATCCCATACAAGAAAAAAGGAGGACGGAAGGACCATCGTATTTCAATAGATCAGAAATGAGGGCTTCTAAAAGGACTTTGTACTACATTTTGCCGACTGGGTATGAACCATTTGAATAGTAAAATTCGGTTCGTTCTATTCGAATAAACGTTCGCTGTTACTAAATACTTCGAATAATTTCCAGTACGCTATTATACAAATAGCTCCAAAGCCTTACAGAAAATATTGATATACCAAGTATTTTTCCAACAGAGTCTACTACATACTTACATGTGTATGTATACGATCTATAAAATATCGCCAAATAAACAACGAACAGGTGAACATTTTCAAAAGATCGAAAAAAATATCGCTCTCGGAGCTCTACGAAAGCACAACCATATCTGTTACTCCAGCGTGAGCACACAATTTTTCTATCGCTTCTATTTTAAATTTAGCTTTAGTCTCTCTAATAGTATGTATGTATGTATGCAGATACATACATATGCAGCTATGTAATATATATACGGTGACCATTCGTACCGACTTTGGCGGGACAGTACCGATTTTGAGAAAATTGTCCAGCCGAATATTTTTTAAAAGTCGGGACGTACAAGTGTCCCTATTTTTTATATTTGTAATTTAATAAGAGTCTCCCTGTACTCTGGCCCAAAAGCAATTTTTCGCACAAACGTGGCAGCACTTTTGTTATCACAAAGGACATAGAATAAAAGGGAGCCATAAACATAGCCAGCATCCTTATTTTCTATGATCTTTGGTAATGTTTCGTTCTGTCAAACTAGTACTCTCGCTATATTGCAGTCTATCATTCGTCTAAATTTTTTTTTTAGGGTTTTATAATTATTTGTTAGCTTTTTTTAATGAAACGATTCTAACTTGTATTTAGTAAAATTATAAACAATAATACTAATTCCCTCAAACAAATCATGGATATGAAAAATATAAGCTGTAGATACAGTGGCGAAATATAAATAGAGAAGAGACATTTTGGCATTCTTTGCCAATTCCGCTTCCGATTATGTATAATTTATTTATTATTTTTTATGAAAGTTTAGCTCGTTATCTAACAAAAAACATGTAAGTCAAAATTTCAAACTTTGTTCAAAAATTAGCAAAATTCGACAAAGGTTCTTCAAAATTTTGAGCTTTTTAATTAGATTTCTTAGAAACATTCTGAGTATGCAGTTTTGTAGCCCATTCAATTCAAAGTGCAAATTTTAAGCTGTCGTTGATTTTTAGGTATTTTATTTTTGTGGAAGGTGTTGCTCATTTTCTCCATTAAAAAAAAATATAGGAAATAATTTGGATGGAAGAAAATGCGCAAACAAAAAATTTCAAAAAATCAGCGGTAAGTCCAAGGTACTTCAAGCTTGCACTTTATTGTACAAAAATTTAATGGGCAACTGCATTGTTTTGAACAATTCCAGAAAATCTACTAATGTTCTACAAAGCTTGAAAATTTTGATTTAGGTACATGTTTTTTTTTTAACTAATAAGTTATATTATCATAAAAAAATAATAAACGTGTTTTAAACAAACAAAAGTAGCCAAAACTTGTCAAAATGTATTTTCCATAACTTTTTTCAAGTTTTATTATCTTTGTTTTGTTTTAAATAAAACTGTATCAAAACAAAATTGTATGTTCGGATTCGATGCTTTACTAATGTCCGGCTTTTTGGCCACAGAAATCTGGTCACCGTAAATATATACAATCTTTCTGTTATCTTTTGAACCTGATTCGTAGCTTAAACGTGCTAACCGATTGCTTATTAACTCGGCTGGTTGCTAACTATTCTGTTTTTTTTTTTCTTATATAAAGACATGGATTGTATGCTTAATACATA